TCCAGGCGGAGCCAAGCGGCCAACTGCTTCGTCCTCGGGCCATACAGCCAAGGCCCCGATCACCCGACCTCAGCCGCTTGACGCTGCGACCCTTCCAACAGATCGAGGCAGGCCAAGCAAGGTACGGCAGCCACACCGACCGCCGCGCCCAGCGACAGCCTGCTGCCGAGTGCAGCGGGCCAGCAAGACCCTGACTGCGTCGATTCAGCCGGCACACAGGCAGGCAGACAGGCAGGCAGGCATGGGGCTGCGTCTTGAAGCCCGCCTTGGACCGTCGTCGTCCAGCACTACCGCCCTGCCTGGATCACCGCCGCTCTCCGCCTTCCACACGCTCGGACCGAGGTTCCGTAGGTCGTTCCTGGGAGCGAGTAGGATGCAAGGGTCGTCCCGTCAGCTCGTAGCTCGTCGAGGGCCGCCCAGCCCAGCGTGGGTCGGTGGACTCCTTGGCTTGACATATCCGACGACCCTTGTCATGGTCTGCTCGCGAACTCACCAATCCGCGCCTCCGCAAAAGCGTAACGTGAAGGCAGGCCCAAGCAAGCAAGGCAACCCCATCCTCTTTTTTTGTTTGTGTCACACGCACCATTCATCTCTCTCTCACGCTGCTGCACTCTCTTTTCCACTCCGACCGGCGACTATGCCGTCCGTCGAGCTCAGCCCCGCCCCGCTCAGCCTGCGGTCAAAGCGAGCAAGCAGGAGACCGCGAGCTTGAGGTGATGTGATGTGAGAAAGAGGGCGCACCTACCTTATCCTACCGGTATCCTTCTTTCGCGCCCAGCCCGGCATGGAGACTACTGTACATGTACGCAATTGCGTGCCAGGCCCCGTACCGCGGGCGAATGCTCCGCATACGACGCACCCTACACGTTGCTGTACCGGTCAACCTGTATCCCAAGCTGTCAGAAGGCTCAGCATGATTGCCCGGACTCCGAGCAAGCGCTGGTCAGCAACATGTATGCGCCCTCTCGCCGCCGTTACGGTCAGGCCGCTTATTGCCAAATTGGTCGTCTACGGTCTGCTTGGGGCCACAAAGACCATACCTCGACAGGCATAGCCGTGAAAGGTCGATGCCTGCCTCGATTTGGTAGAGAGCCATCGCGATCCAGTGCCAAGCCATTGGAGCGTGTCGCCCTCTGCCAACCTTCGCACGTAGGCGGGCCAGGAAGCAGTGGTAAGAGAGCTGCTGCCGGGCTTGGTCACCAGCTGGACGAAGCGAAGACGGCCAAGTTGCGCTCCCTTGCTGCGGATGCGTCCGTCCGAAGCAGTCAGAGTCGTCGACACCGAGCGCCGTGCCGCCGCTCCACAGAGGCCACTCAATGACGACCTGCGGAACGCGAGCTGCGCCGGTCGACGACTTGAGGCATTGTTGGCAAGCGCGAAGCCGGGTCGACGGGGACAAGGGGGGGGTGAGGCGGCTCCCATACCGGGTCGTCAGCATGCCGTTGGGACAGGTGCAAGGAGGCAACAAACAGCTCGTGCTGGGCATCATGATCATGGAGGATCGAGTGCTGTCCGCAACGGCAGCAACTCGTCGAGCCAGGCGATCAAGCACCGGTATGTGACAAGGGGACGTGCTGATGGTCCAGAAACGGAGCTCAGGAGCGAGCGTCGACGATACGAAGGTGGAGCAGAAGGAACCAAGCGGACCAAGGCTTGGGTCGATGGGCATTTGTCCGCCTTCTGCTTGTTTGTTACGCAGCAAGCAAGGGGCGGCCACGCAGGTCAGACCAACACATCAGCACGAAGGGCAAGGCGGGTCCATCTTTCCGTTGCTCCTCGGGACGCTGGGGCGATCGGCCTCTGGGGCTCTCTCCGCGGCGACGTGCGGTCGTTCAGGGTCGCCATGCACGGAGGCCGAGGGAGACGGGGGTCTTGAAAGAGCGCTCTGCTCGATTACCGGGTGCTTTCATCTGTACCGCCCTGGACAGCCAGGCAACGATAACAAGCTTGACGGCCTCGCCAGTGCCGCGCGGTGCGATGCGAGGACGGGGTCGATGGCGAGAGCGAAGGAGAGGGAGAGGGGAAGGAGGCGGTGGTTCCAGGACCACTACCGATTGCGGCATCGGCCGTGGGTGGCTCGCGAGCCGGTCGTCGAGGATGCAAGGAGGCGTACGGGTCAGGAATTGATGGGAGCCCATGGCCAGCAAGCTCGGACGCGACCCTGGTTCGTGGGTCGAGGTCGACGACGAAGGGGCCCGCGCGTGTGTGAGTGTATGTGTGTGTGTGTGTGTCACCTGGGCTGGCACGCGAGCGCGGTGCTCTGAAGTTAAGAGTGGAGGCAGCGAGGAGCAGCGGGCCAGGCCAGCCCAGCCCAGCCCCAGCCAGGCCAAGGGGCTTTGGATCGGGACCCCAAAAATCCTAGGCGAAGCACAAGGGGGGGCGGCTTTGGGCTAGGTTGGCCGGCCCGCCTTCCGCTTGGCCCACCGCCACCATCATCACGACCGACGACGACGACGCCATCCCCTCGCCGAACGGGAAATCGGCCGGGGTCGATCCGTCGTCTTGCCAGGCCTTGCCATCCTCCGTCGAGCTGCCGCGCTCCTCCGCTCCTCCTCTGGTCGAGGTGTTGGCGCATGACCTCGCTCGCCTCTTGCCATCCTCTCGTGTTATCTATCTCGTCTCACTCTCTCGAGTCTCGCATCGCGTCCCGTGCAAAGGGCAGAGTACGGCGGTGCGGCACCTTCCGAACTCGGTTGCTCGACCTGGGCCGTGGCTGCCGTGTCGGCAAGAGGTGGCGTCCCAGTCTCGCTCCCTTCCCGGCACGTCTAGTGCCCAAGCGCTTCAGCGGAGGCTCGGACAGGCCGCTGCGCCCTCGACTTGCGCGACCGCTGGCCAGATCCTCTGAGAGCGACCGTCCTGGCTTGCACGTACGCTTGAACTTTTGCCGGCTCGCGAGACGATTCTGGCTCGCCTCAGCGGGTCCGAAGCGTTATTGTCGACGCTGAGCCCGATTTCATCACGGCTGCCATCCGAAGCGTGGGGTCCCGGAAGGGCCTGCCTGCCCTTGATATCGTGTACGCGACGACCACGTCGCCCTCGCGACGGCTCCAGACGACGTCCGCCGGCGGCCAGCGCGCCTGGCCTGAGATTCATGCGATGGCAAGCAGCGTCCGTCCGTCCGTATGCCAAGCCTCCGGAGAGACAGCTCTAAAGTCACACAAAGCGTCTGGGTTGGGGGCACCGACGAAGCGACACGTCGTCTGGACGGAATCCATGACCTGGCCGGCGCGACCCAGCGTCCATCCGCAGCGATATATCATTTTCTTCTCGCCACGTCCAATTTTTTTTCTTTTCCTGCCACTGCTCGTCTCTCTGGCAGCCCGTGACCATCGACCGGTACGGTGCTGTACCAGGGCTCTGGCACCGCCTGGATGGGCCTAGACGAGGCTGCAGGCTCGTCCATGGCGGCGGCTACTTTGTCGGCTTGCCGCATCGAGAGGGGCGCGGGGGGGTTATTTCCTGGTCCGAGGGTCTGGCCTCTCTCTCTCCTGAGCGCAGGATAAGTACAGTAGAGGTTTGGACGGGGATACGGCATACGAGCCGCGCGAGCCGGTCCATGCTGATGGACCTGCTAGATTCAGATCGGATGCACCCTGCTTTCGGCCCAAGCCCAACGGCGGCCGGGCGACGCAACCTGGCGACGGCAAGAGGTGCTGCCGATGGTCCGCTGCCTCGACGATGGATGGATCCGGCAAGTCAGAGCTTGTTTCGCCTGCCTCTCTGCTTCTCGAACCTTCTTTTGTCTTCCGTGCTGTCCGTGCCGCTCGACGGACGGACGACCCGTTTGGGACTCTGAGGCTGTCTGGCCAGATCTGTCTGTCCGTCCGTTCCGTCCACCCATCGGCCAGGCTCGCTACTGCTGCTAGCTCCATCGCCGAAGCCGATCCTTCAGGCTGCCGTACCACTGGTACATAGGGGCGACTGGCTCGTGGACCCCGCTATGGCGTGTGTCGGAAGTGAGGGGACGACGTCGGTATGGCACGGACCTCAATCGTGTCGACGATGACCTGGGTCCGACTACAGGTGAGGTGCGCTGCTAGCTCAGCGCACCTTGCAATAGCAGAGACGAGGCCAGGCCAGGACGACCCCGAACACGGAACGATGCTTCGCGACGCGTACTTTCTGCCGCCAGGCCAAGCTAGGCCTGATCAGGCGAAGGACAGACACACAGATCAGCGTGGGCAGCCGGTTCATGGTCGAGCAGCAACGAGCAGGTGGCACCAGCCCAACCTCTCCCACGCTACCGATACCTGGCCAATGATGGTCGCCCAGAAGTCCGAGTCGGCTGGCACGGCGCCCGAGGGCGATCCCGACCGGGGTTTTGGCAGCGTCGTAAGCGCGCTTGGCGGCGAGACAGCTGATGGCCTTGCGATGTCGCAGAGGATGAGGTAGTGTGGGGACGGAACGGAACCCGAGGCCGAGCGAGGAGACGCGAGACAGGTGCAGCGTCGATGAGGAAGCAAGTGGATCGCCATCGTCGTAGGGGTCTGAGGGGAGGGGACGGTCGAGGGGCTGGGTTGCCAGCTAGCGGGTAGCCCAGCCCAGCCCCGCACTGATTTTCGTTTTGAATTTTGGGCGTCTTTTACCTTTTGGCCTCGGGCGCGGGGTTTGGGTAATCGAGGGCAGCATGGCCGAGATGGGCCGAGGCGGGCGAGAAAAAGAAAGTGGAGAAGGTCAAGCCAAGGCCAAAGGGTCGGCGGCTCTTTGTCGCTCGCACCGAACCGCCCACGCCCGACGCAGCCTTCATCGCTCGTCGCTCATCGTTCCCCGCACCTCGATCTCGTCTTCTTCACGCACCATCTCCTCGCACATCCACCGACGACGGCATCGCCCACCCTGGCCACAGAGCAGCCAGTCCAACAGCCCGCGGGAGCATGCAAAGGGTCCTCCGAGCTTCTCTCCTCGTACGCACCGCTGCAACGCCCAGGACCCCCCTTCGCCCCGTCCCGCTCCGCCCGCACCCAGGTCTGCCACGGCGACTGGTCAGGCCTTCGTCCACCATGGTCCCCGACACCTACTTCACCCACGCCCTCAACAAGCCGTCGGATCTCATCCAGTCCCTCTACGACAAGGCCACCGACAAGTCGGCTCCGACCTTTGCCCGCGACGTCGAGTCCCACTTCCGCACCACCTTTGCCCACGCCGATGCCCGCTCAAAGATCCCCGTCCTCTCGCAGGCCGTCGCGCAGCCTCTCCTCCAGCAGCAGCACGGCAGCACATCCTCGACCGCGGGCAAGCTCGTGAGGTGGAGGTGCATGGTCCAGGACACTGGCCTCGGCACCGAAGTCTTCCTCTCCTCCAGCAGCGCCCAGGGGCACGACTCCGCCCGCTGCGGCCTCTTTGGCGCTGAGAACTCGGCCGCCGCACACAGCGATGCCGACGACTTCACCCACGTCGACAGCTCCAAGCTCGGCGAGCGCACCGTCGTCTACGCCGTCTCGGTGCCCGGAAGGAGCGACTGGGCACGCCGAGCATGGGGCGAGGATTCGGCGTCCTCGGCGTCCTCGGCGTCCTCGGCGTCACAGACGCCCAGCGCCACCGACCGAGATGGACAAGGCGACGAACTCAGCTCCAAGATGGCCGCGACCTCCCTCCTCGACGAGCCCCAGTCTCCGCAAAAGGTCGAGGAGGTCAGGCAGCGCATCCGGGCAGCCGTCGAAAAGGGCAAGGCCGTCGGCGGCAGCGGCAAGGAGCCTCGACTCGTCGCCGTCTCCAAGCTGCACCCCCCTTCGGCCATCCTCGCCGCGCACCGCCAGGCAGGTCAGCTCCACTTTGGCGAAAACTACGTCCAGGAGATGGTCGACAAGGCCAAGGTGCTGCCAAGGGAGATCCGCTGGCACTTTGTCGGCGGCCTGCAGAGCAACAAGGGCAAGCTGCTCGCATCCATCCCCAACCTCTACCTCCTCGAGACCCTCGATTCGGTCAAAGCGGCAAACGTCCTCCAGAAGGCGCTCAGCTCGCCGGATGCGCCCAAGCGGGACGAGCCGCTGCGCGTCTACCTCCAGGTCAACACCAGCGGTGAGGACGCCAAGAGCGGCCAGCCGCCCATCCTCGACGCTCAGAGCCTCGACGAGGCTTCTCGACCTCTGCTCGACCTAGCGGTCCATGTCATCACCAAGTGCCCCGACCTGAGGCTGAGGGGCGTCATGACGATCGGCGCGGCGGCCAACAGCGCCAACACTGCGGCCGGACAGGAGGCCAAGAGCGTCGAGGACCTCGTCTCGGCCAACCCGGACTTTGAAAAGCTCATCCGAACCCGCAAGAACCTCGTGGCTCTGCTGCGCTCCAGCTCCGACGTGGCCAAGAGCGACGCGGCCCACATCAAGGAGGCCTATGCGCAGCTGCTGGCCGAGGGCGGCGACGAGAGCGGCGGCCTCGAACTCAGCATGGGGATGTCGGCCGATCTCGAGGTGGCTGCCATGGTCGGCAGCGACAACGTCCGCGTCGGCACCGACTGCTTCGGCAGGCGTCCGGGCACGCGCGACGAGGCCATGGCCGGCATGAAGCGCGAACTCGAAGTGGGCATCGAGGCCGCCATGGCCGAGCTCCGCAGCAGCGTCCAGGGCCAGGGCCAGGGCCAGGACAAGGCGTCCGCGAGCGGCAAGCACGGCGAGGTCTCGGCGTCCGCATCAGACCCGGGGCCGCTCGCGTACCAGGACCCGCTGCCGCAGAAGGCTCCCTTGCCCGAGGAGGGCCACGTCGGCGGACTGATCAAGGTAAGCGCTTCGCCCCGAGGTTCCCCTCTCCATCGATCTCGATCCGTGCTGATCCAAACTCTTCCCTGCAATCCGTCTGTTGCCAGTTCTACGATGTCGATGCAGCCGAGAAGCTCAAGACTACCGAGATGGTCGACGTTGTCGGCATCCTCGACACGGCCTCGTGAGTGAAGAGCGCCGTCGATCCTTGCAGTGATGCCGTCACAGCTTCTGACGAGGGCCGACTCGACTCTTTCGATGCGCCGCGCGACAGCCTGCCGCACGCAGAGTGGCAGGAGTCGGGCTCGTCGGGGACGTCGGGCAACAACACCTCTCCCTCTGTGCCCTGCGTCCATGCCCTCTTTTTCGAGCCGGTCGACATCAACGACGCTCAGGGGCTCGCTGCTGCCGGCAGTTTTGGCCTGTCGGACCAGGGGAAGAGGTCGGCCATCATCGACTACCTCTCAACCGGCCTAGGAGGTGACAAGGTCGCCGCCGAGCTCGTGTTGCTCTCGGTTATCTCTAGGATGTGAGTTGCCCAGGTGTGCGCGTGGATCTCCCGACTTTGCGCAACGGTCGAAGTGGTAGCTCACCCCATCTGGCCACCACCATCTACATCGCACTGCAGCCACTCGCGCCGAGCCAGCCTCTCGCTCGGCGCGCTGACCGTCAACCTGTCCAACTTCCCCGCGCCGCCCGCCTCCGGGAGCGGTGCCACGACAAAGATCTCGCGGCTGCTATCGAGCCTTCTCCCATCGGTCGTGGACGTGTCGATGGATCTCAAGGACCTCAACGACCCCAAGAGGAGCTTCAGCCCTCGGAGCTCGGGCGGTGAAGTCGGGCTGGAGGCCGGGAGGCTGCAGCTCGTCAACGGCACCGCGCTGGTCGTCAACGAAGGCACGATGAAGGAAGGCGAGCTCAAGGAGCACGGTGAGTGTCGATCGCGGCGCGGTGGCGGTCGAAGGGAGGATCCGTTGCCGCATGGCCGCAGCTCTGACCCTCGAGGATGTCCTCCGCACGCTCCGATGCCACCTGCTGCCAGGCATCCGCAACATCAAGTCGCTCTCGTCGGTGCTGGAGTCGCACAAGCTGCCCTACATCTTCCCGTACTCGGAGTTTGAGTTTGAGACAGACCTCAACGTCGTCGTGCTGAGCCAGGGCAAGTCGTTCCTGCCCTTTGACGTCCAGTGTCCCCTCGCGGTCGCCTCCTCGTCCTCGGTCGCCAGCGCCCTGTACGGCGAGGTGGATGGGATGCCGGTGCAGGACAAGCTGGAGGGGTGGAGACGGGCGCTCCTGTCTGCGCGAACGCTGCAGGTGGCGCAGGCGTTTGAGATCCCGGGCGAGGTGAGCGAGTATATCCAGAGCGAGTTTGTCGAGTCGCGCAGGGAGGACAAGGAGGTCGGGCAGGAGGATCTGTTGCGCCGCATGGCCCTCGTCCGGTGAGTCCAGTTGCCCGAGTGCGCCGAGGCGGTCCGCGGTCCGCTTCCAGCACCATCCTGCGTCGGACCCTCGTTCGCTGACGGTGCCGGTTTGACCTTTTAATCCCGCGCGCCCCAGGCTCCTCGCCATTTCCAAGGGCGAAAAGACGCTCACCGTCGATACGTGGAAGGCGGCCGTCGAGCTCGACTGTACCGTTTCGCAGCGTCGTCGGGCCGCCGTTGCGCAGCAGCAGCATCACCCGTCGGGCTCCAGGTGAGAGAGAGCCAAGACGTCATCCCTGCACACGTTTCTCGACATCGAGGGCATTGCTTGTCGCCGTCGACGTTCTGCTAGACGATGAAATGGAGCTTTCCAGAAGACACGGTACCGGCAGCCGAGGGGCAGGATGACGCGTCCACGCCGGTATAGACGACGGGCTGCGTGCCATGCATGAGGCGGCGAATCCGTCGTGCAGCTTTTGGCCGGGGGGCAGAGGGTGACGACGGGAGACACACAAAGACGAGAGAAGGTGCGAATCTTGAATGGGATTGACAAACAAGGTGGGCACAAGAATACTTCGCAACGATATTGAATAGAAAAAGAAGGTGGAAGAAGTAGGAAAAAGAAGAAAAAGGACAAAGAAAGAAGGAAAGCGTCTGGTATAGTTGCAAGGGTCAAACGGAGCACTGGAAGAGAGTGCGTGTAAAGGGTAACGGATGGGCTAGAATGGTAGCCTTGTCCAAGAAGGTGGTGATGGGTGGGGCAAGAGGGGCGAGGTGGGCGACGACGGGCCGGGCTGCACCGCTGCTGAGCGGGAGCGGCGCCGAAGCCTGTCTAGAGACTTGTCGCGCCTGGCCTTCGGCCGACCGATCACGGTTTGGAGGTTCGAAGGGCTTGCATGGGAGGGGGGGCGCCGCCCGTTTTACTGGGTGGCGTTGGTCTGCCTCATGGCCGGGGCGGGCTCGATGCCCGGGTTGCCGGCGTTGGTGTTGACGTTGTTGAAGTTGTCGTGGCCGATGATGCCGTGCGGGTCGTTGGTGCCCGTGGTGGTGGCGCCGGCACCGGTGGTGGTGGTGTTGGCGGGGGCGTTGGTCGAGTTGGGCAGGACGCCGGTGTGGTGACCGCGGGCCTCCATCCGCTTTGCGTCCTCGACGGAGCGGGGCGTGGGGCCGGCAAAGTCGGTGTCGTAGTCCGAAAACTTGCCCGAGCGCAGGTGGAGCGACGAGTAGTCGCACTTGCGCAGCGAGAAGAGGTGGACCATTGCAAAGACGGGCTTGGCGAGCAGGTCGAGGACGCCGTAGAAGACCATTTCGCCGTCGGGCGAGATCTGGTTGCTGCCGTCGGCCAGGCCCCAGGCGATGGGGTAGAGGAACCACAGGCCGCAGAGGATGGCGGCCGAGGTGAGGTACGACTTCTTGAACTCGGCGCCCAGGTGGCTCGCCGACTTGAGGCCGGGCACCCAGATGACCCAGAAGACGTAGAACATGGCGACGCAGCCAAAGGTGAAGAAGCCCCACTTGTACCGGCTCTGCACCAGCGCGCCAATGAGGCCCGTGATGATCATGACCAGGTCAAAGAAGATGGTGACGAAAATCGTCGAGAGGGGCAGTCCCGAGACGAGGAGGAGCTCGAGGAGCAGCAGCGGCGTCGTGATGGTCCAGTCAATGTAACGCGCGTACCAGATGGAGCGCGTCGGGTAGAGGCCGTCGCCGCCGACAAAGGCTCCGTTGAGGAACTCGACGCGGATCGGCGTGGCGCCGAGGTCCGAGGCCATGGAAAAGTAGGCAATCGACGCCGTGGCCAGGATGGCGGCGCTGAGGTAGTGGAAGGTGCGCTCGCCGCGGCTCATCTTCATGCCCCAGACCATGCAGCCGAGGCCGGTGGCGGCCATGACCGAAAAGACGGCCCACAGCCAGCTAGAGCCATTGGTGGTGATGTCGATCTGGGCCACCGTGGGGTTGAGGTCGAGCGCGTTGTTGCGCCTGGCGAGGCTGACGAGCTGGTCCATGACGGGCAAACGACTCGCTGCTAGCGTCGAAACAGAGGGAGGAGAGGGATACGCAAAGGGGCCTGGCTGGCTGGCGGGCTGCTTGGTGGTCGCTCGGGGACGTGGCGAGAGGAGCAGGGGCAAAGACGGGCCGAGGGAGTCTGCTGCGCTGGAGCCGGGTGGTTAGATGGGGATCGGGGAGGACAGGATGGGGACGACGGCCTACCCTCTTCTTATAGCCCTCCTCCCCCTTCGTAGCACGTCTCGAGGCCGTGAAGCCGTGACGGGCTCAGCTGGCGGCTGGCTGCTAGCGGCACGGCGAGCCAGCAGTCGATCCAGGGTGCAGGATCAGGCGGGCTGGCCAGGTCAGCCTAGCTTGTGTCACAGGGTTGGATCGCTGTCGAGCTGAGCCATAGGGACAGCGGCCGGCCAGCCGGCGGAAGAGAGAAAGAGGGCGGGAGAAGGACGACGAGGTGCTGAGCGAAGCGTCGTCGATGAGAGCCGTAGGGATCGACGTCATAACGGACGCTGAGGGGGCCGGGCCCAGAAGTCTAGCGCCATCGCCCGCCCGCCCGCCTGCCCTGCGTGCCGCTCCACCTGACAATAACGACGACGACGACGACCCTTCTTGGTTGCCCTTCCTCCGACCAATGGTCCGATCCGACCGAAGGCGTTGAGCAGGTGACGAATGGCCACTACGGCGGCTTCTCTGCGCTTCTGCGCGTTTTGCCAGGCCGGCCGTGCGGCCGTATCCTGCCCGATCCGGCGGGGCGCGCGACCTGGCCTGCGGGACGACGCATCCATATGTCTTCCATGCCTGCCTGCCTGCCTGCCCGCTTGCCCGCCTGCCCGCCTGCCTGCCTATGGCCATGCACACATCGTCAAGCTCTATGCCCTCGCATCCGGTCACGTCCAGCGAGACGGACGGTGGTCGCGCCCATCGCCAACAATGGTGCCCGCCATCCGGTGTCTCGCCGCGAGGCTGGGTAGACGTTGGTCGGGCGCCATCATTCTGTCGCGAGACTTGGTCTGATCTTCCCATTTGCGGCCGGCGAGACGGTCGAAGGGTTGATTGGCAGGCCAAGCCAAGGCGAGCAGGACGGCGGGCCATCGAAAGTCGTACGTTCGAGGGTCCCTGCCGTTACTTCATCAAGACCAGGGTCAGGGTCTCCTGACACCCTACCCTTGGGGCCTGATCGGCATCGCGAAGCCGGTGTCGCTGGGCCCAGTGCCAGTCGGACCAAGCTGAAGTCATCGGATTCCCACCAGAGTTGACAGCACGCGTGCCGCCAGCTCGAGCGGGGAGATGACGCCCTTTCCTCTCTCATGTGTAAGTCTGGAGAGCTCTCTTCTGCCTGACGTACGATCGGAGGCCCTCCATCGGCCATCGTCGCCGTCGCCGCTCTTCGCCGACGGTCGGCACATGGTTCCCGACCGACCGACCCTGCTGCGATTGTGGTTCTTCGGCATCGACCTCCTCCCCTCCCCACCGTACCGTACCATACCACCGCGCGGCGATGGTCTCGGCATCGACGGTTCGGCATCGGTTCGTCAAGAGTCAGGTACAGGTGCCGGTACGGTACCTGCCCCACCTCCATCACTCATCCTACAGGAGCTCGACCTCGCGGTTCGGGGGGAGTCAGGAGGATGACACGTACCGTGCTGAGCGGCGATAGGATGTTTGGAAAAAGAAGCAAGCAAGGCGACGACGACGAGGCTGGCTGACCGGCGGTTGGGCGGCCACCTTTGCCGCCGCGAGCAGCATCTCATCGTCCTCATCACGTTGGCCTGCATGACTGTAGATTGCAGTCGATGGTGACTCGAGCTCTATTCCCGAGCGGAGTGAAGGTTCCCTACGGTGACCAAGAGCGGAGTGTCAATGGCGAGGATGGAGGGACGACGACTGACTAACCTTTTGCTGTGTTACCCCTCGTCGGTCAGAGTGGCCCAAAGGGCAGGTAGGCGCCCTGGACACGAACGGCTGACCGAGGCGGGCCGACAACGGCGAGCAAGAGAGCGAGCGATAGATTGGGTTCACCAGCATCTTTGATGCGATTGCCATCGTCGGCGATCGGCCCCCATCGACGGACGTCGGGGAGGCGCGGCGCCTCTGACCAGCTTTGTTTAGAGCTGGGGGGGATACGCGTCCCGGCTTTTCGCCTTGCTTGCGCTCGAATCGGAGGTTTTCCTCTGCAGCGCGCGGCGGCGGTGGCGTCGGCGGGCGCTTCGCTCGGACGTAGGTTGCTGCAGGTGCGATCTGTTGTGCCTGCCTGCCTGCCTGCCTGCTGCTTCTATAAGCGTGCATGGCCTGCATGACCGGGCGTGGGGAGGAGGGGTCGAGGTAGGGATCGGGTTTCCCGGCCTGTGCCGGCGGTACTTGGTCGGAGCATGTACAGCAGTACCAGCTTCGCTGCAGGGCAAGGCAGAGACGGAGGAGGAGCGAGCGAGATGGTCGCCCACGATCGGCATGGCTCGACTTTGGCCAACCTCGACGTGGGTGCGTGCGGGACAGGTAGGCAGGCTAGGGGAGGGAGGGTAGGCCAGGGCAGGGCTTGGGCCCTGCCTCGACCTGCTTTTTCAGGGTCTCGACCCTCTGGCTGCTTGCTTGGCTGCTGCCGGCAAGGCTCCAAGGTCTGTCGTCACCGCGCATCCGTCGCCGTCGTCGGCCTAGCCTCCACCCCAGCTCAGCTCACCTGGCAGGCCAGGCCTCCCGCGACAACGGACCCGACACGCGCCTACGCGCCGTTCCGCTCGCGCTCCATCCCACCACCTCACCTCGCCCCGCCTTGCCTTGGCCATGACCTTGGACCTTGAGAGGCACCCTACTCTCTTCACCAGCTGCGGGCACGTACGCTCTTGCCGCAAGAGAGAAGGAGAGAAAGAGAGAGCGGCCGCCATGATGGGTGGGGAGTAGTGATGCTTTCAACGAAAATTATACACTCGGCTTGACCGAGACCTCCTCCTACTGAAGCTACAGTAGTATGTACGTCGTACGTCGTCGTCACGACCTCCTGGTGCCAACGAGCTTGCTCTTGCTCTTGCTCCCTCTATCCGATCCGACCCGCCAAGACCCGTCAAACTTTAGCGCCTCTCCCGCCGCCTCGAAGATGTCGACGTACGGCGCAGATCCCTGCCAGTGGGTACTGTGTGGTACTAAGTACCACCGTCACGACCCCCTGCCAAGCCTGGCCTAGCCTAGCCTGGCCTGGCCTAGCCTAGCCTGGCCTGGCCTAGCCTGACCTAGCCTGCTCCGGCTTCTTGTCCCCGATCCGACATTCCTCACATCGCCTCGCCTCGTCTCGCCTACGGACTCTCATCCATCGGACCACATCTTGCCCCAGCACGACTCGCCGACGTCAGCTCCGGGTGCCGCAATCATCTCCAGTATGGCGGATCGACGTCGTCGGCTCGGTGGAGATGAGCGACAAAGGCGTTCCATCGCAGAGAACACGCACGGACGGCCGGTGACGGCATCCGCTTCCATGCACGTACCTACCGGTACCGAAGCAACGTCGGTGGACCCCCGTCTCGCGCCCCGTCCTGTCGCCGACTGCTGCTCACTCGGCAGGTCCGGGCGCTGTGTTTCAACGACAGCCAGGGAGATAAGAGGCGAACAGCGCGGGTCAGCTCCACCTGTCCTGTCCTATCGGTACCGACTCGTTCCGCGACAAGGCCTGACGGGTCGGGCCGCCGCTGCATGTACTCACGTCGGACCTGGCTGGGCGGCTGGCTGGTCGCGGCGCTCTCGAGCGGGTCCAGCGGCGGGCTGGGCGGCAGGTCGTCGGCCACGTCGGGCTTGGGCGGCCGCGGGCGGTGGGTGTCGACGGCCTCGATGGGCAGCTGGAAGCGCTTCTCGTCGCACCCGTACGCCTTGGGCGTCAGCTGGATGACGGTGTGCAGCGGTATCTTGATGTAGGGCAGGTCCTCCTGGCTCAGCGCGTGGAAGTAGGCGTAGAGGCACCGGATAATGGCCTGGTGGCCAATAATGAGGATGTTCTCCTGCCGCTCCAGCTCCATGATGATGGGCTCCAGCCGCACCACGACGTCGCGGTACGACTCGCCGCCGCGGTAGCGGTAGTTGAACTTGTCCTCGTCGCGGCACGCGTAGTCCTCGGGGTAGTACTTTTCAATCTCCTCGTACGTCATGGCATCGCACACGCCCGCGTCGAGCTCGTCGAGCGACTTCCACGCCAGCTTGGGGTACGGCAGGAACGACGCCGTCTGGCCCGTCCGCTTGAGCGTGCTGTGCCACACGGTCAGGGGCGCATCGCCGATGTTGTCCTGGATCAGCTGCGGCAGCGCCTTGGCGTACGCCATGCCGCGCTCCGACAGGCACGAGTCGCCGCCAATCTTGCCCTCGACATTGTACTGCGACTCGCCGTGGCGCGAGAAAAAGATGTTGCGCGGCGTCAGGTGCAGGTTCATGAGGTAAAAGGCGATGCGCGACTCGAGGTAGCCCTGCGTCTTGTTGATGACGACCGACTTGCCGACGTCGGTGACCTTGACGTAGCTGTAGTCGGACTCGGTGCCGTCGGCGTTGACGGGCTCGTAGCCCTCCTCGTAGTGCTTGATGCGCGCCAAGAAGTCGGCCTTGGCTGCCTCGGGCGTCATGCCGGCGTAGTCCGGGTCGCCGCTGCTGACCTTGACGGCAATGTTCTTTTCGATGACGGCCGGGTCGGTGCAGATCGACTCGAGAAAGACGAGCTTGAGGTCGGGCTCCTTTGCGATGCGGTCGGCAATCTCCTTGCGGCGCGCCTTTGTGCTGTTGGTGGCGTCGTGGATGCCGACGTTGCCGCCGCGCTTGAGCCAGCCGATGAGCTGCTCGAGGCACTCTTCGGCCATCTGGGAGCGCAGCTTGTACGCCGACGGGTTCGACGGGTCGAAAAAGTTGTGCGTGTGGTCCTCCTTGACGCCCGACTGCCGGAACTTTGTGCGGGCCAGAGCGCGCCGCAGCTGGCCGACGTTGAAGACCTTGACGTCGTACTCGAGCCACCGGAGGTATTTGAGCACGCGGTTGGCCACGTAGCTCTTGCCGCGGGCGGGCAGGCCGACCATGCAGACGACAATCTTGGCGCCCGAGTAGTCGGGCTTGGCCCCCGTCGCGCCGAGGTTGGGCGTCGAGATGCCGGTGCGGATGCCCTGGCCGAGGCCCAGGGCGGCGCCGAGACCGCTGCTGCCGCCTCCCGAGTGGCCTCCCTCGCCAACCTCTGGAGCGCCGTGGAGCACGGTGCCGCTCGTGTTGGACGACGACGACGCCGCAGGCGCCGGCGCCTCGGCCGACGTCGAGAGCCCGGAGCGGTGAACCGAACCGGCCAGGGAACCGCCCATGGCGAGGTATCCGCTGCTGTCGCCGTGGTGTTCGGCGCGCTCAAAGGGGGTGCTGGGCATGCTGCCCGACTTGCTGCCGCCGCGGCTGCCGGAGCGCGTCGAGAAGCCGCCGGTCGCGCTCATCTGGGAGCTCGCGAGGTTGGGGCCGGCAGCGGCGGCGAGGCTGCTGGATACGAGTTCCGGGTGATCTCGGAGGAGCGCCTGTAGGCCGTCGGAGGACTGTGCGAGGTTGGACGAGGCGACTGCGATGTCAAAGGCCTCCCTGTTTGAGACCTGGGGGAAGGGTGCAGGGCGCGAGTGTCCGTGCGACGAGTGGGAGAGGTGCCTGGGGGAAGCGGTGGAGAAGACGCCGGGGCTGCCGCTCATTCTTCGTGCGCCGCTCTTTACCGACGAGGAGCGCGAGAGGGCGGCGTGGGCCGCTGCGGCCTCCTTTTCGAGGGCCTTTTGGGCGGCGCGCTGTGCGCTCGTCTGGGAAGCCTCTGCGGTTGAAGCGGTTCCGGGCCCTACGCCTGGACCGCCGCTAGGGTGGCGGTGATGGTTGCGGCCCTGCCTCTGCGACTGGCTCGACTCGGAGCGCTGGTGGGGCGACGAGAAGCCCGAGGCGGTGTCGTTGTTGTTATTGTTGCTGGCATCCTGGTCATTCTTGGTGCCGGTGTTTGCAGAGGATGATGCCGACATGGTGTAGCGTAGGCCGGCGTTGGAGGGTTGATGGAGCGAGAGCAGGAAGGAAGGGAGGGGACGGGGGGGGGGGTGGGGGGGGGATGGCCAGGGTGGGGGAGGCCAGAGGGAAGGGGGGGCAGTCGGTGCTGCCCGAGATGGACCAGCGGACAGGGTCCGGGCAGTTGGAGTGCGGGCGGACCGGGGCCCTCAGACGGGCAGCCAAAGAGAGAGAGAGAGAGAGCGAGGGCGGCTGCTGACCATACTCGGGACGGTCTCAAGGTCGGCTTTGTCCGGCTGGCCGTGAGGCTGGCTGGGCACGGGCTAACCAGCGGGACACTTCCGACCGCCGTGAGTGCCTTCGCTTGCTTCCTGCCTGGCCAGGCCAGCCTCGACTGCGGGGAACACCGATGTGTGGCCCGACCGCCGGCGACGAGTTTGCCGACTCGTGCGAAAGACAGCCCCGCCCTGGCCGCTCCACTTTTTCCAAAAAAAAAGAGAGGTGTGGGCAGGCCAGCTTGGCCCGTTCCCGCTCCTCATCTTCGCTCCTGCTCCGTTCCCTGCCCACCACCACCACCACCACCACCACCAACTCCACAGTCGACCCACCGCACACAATGACGCCCGAAGAGTACGACGCACTCACCCCAGAGCAGCGCACCGCCCACGACGCCCAGGAAAAGGCAAGGGAAGACGCCGAGCAGGCCGCCCTCCCCTACAAGTGGTCCCAGGAGCTCGATCACGTCGAAGTCGCTGTCCCCGTGCCCCAGGGTACAAAGGGCAGGGACCTCATCGTCGACCTCCGCAAGAAAAAGATAAAGGTCGGCCTCAAGGGCAAGGACGCCATCCTTGAGGTGAGTCAGTCACGTCGCGCTTGCTTGATCCCCCCCGTTGCCCTCCTCGCCCTCGGTGCGCCGGACTCACAAATCGCACCTCTTCTACTCTCCTCCCCCCCCCCCCGTACCCCCCTCCCGACCGTCCGTCCG